GTTCGGCTCCGCCCGAACTTAGACTTTCTTACTTGTTTTAATTTTTTTTTATTGTTCAAAACACATTTGGAATATAAAATCGAAACATCTTTTTCTATATAATTTTCAAATTTTTAATATAAAATGTTGATTTCCATAAAACACGTACTGATCGATGAAAGTATTTTCTAAAAGACGGTTACTCATTTCAAGCTTTTTAAGTAGTCTTATAACCGATTCAATTTTAGTATAATAAAGTGAAAATTCGAAGTGGCTGAGACTAACCATTGATTTTTGGCAATATTCCATGCAAAAACTCATGTTGAAAATTTTTTTATATGGACGAAAAAGGGCTGAATGGGCATCTCGGCGATTTTTTTTTGTTTTGTAGCATTTTAACTTCTCTACAGTGTTATTTTTCCTTTTCGTTGCCAGCAAAATGCCATCTGTAGCACACTTAGTCTACTTCTATGCCTCACTATTTTTTCTCTTGGGTCGCACACTGGCTGTATCACTTTATCTCGCTGAGGTCAACGATCGTTCGCGCGAACCACTGGAAGTGATAAAACAAGTACCCAAAGACGGTTATAACGCGGAAGTCGATCGATTTGCGCACGAGCTGGCTATGGATACAGTGGCGCTGACTGGACTACAATACTTTAATGTTACTCGGGGACTGGTCTTGACAGTAAGTACTTACATAAATATGTATATGAACCTTATTAACTTAAATCATAAAAAATAAAATAGATTTAAAATGCTTTAAATAGAAATAAGCAATGGAAGAATTGCATGATAAAATCACTTCATAGAGCTTTTCAAATCTATTTTGTTTTCAAAGAATAAATAAGGGCATGAATCTTAACCTTAATTCAACTAAAAAATTCTTTAATAATTTTATTTACCCATTTTTTTTTTAGGTCGCCGGAACAATCGTTACCTATGAGCTGGTGCTTATACAATTTCACGAAGATCAAAAATTATGGAATTGTAATTGACTTTTTGTTAATAATTTTTTAGTACGAATGTTTAGAGTCAATGGTTTTACTCTTTATAGACAGTACTTGTATTTGTGTAATAAAACTCCCTGAAAAAAATTGTACAACCAATCTCTATAGAGAGTATTCCGAGATAACTCTCAATCGGGTACAATTGGGCATTAATTAGTCGCAACTAGTCTCATACGGGTACTAATGGGGATTAGTCTCGACTTAAATATCCCTTACGGGTATAATTGGAGATCAATTAGGCCAGAAAGATCTTGCAATCTAGTTTTAGCCCTCACGCTAGTTGAAGTTATATGAGTCCCAACCGTACAAGAGTGAACCGAAGGAGGAAAGAGGCGGCTCCAGTTGTTCCGTCCCTGGTAACAATGTTTCAAGGGCGTCTTCCCTTGCCAGGTCATCAGCCATGCGGTTTTTCGCAATGTCATTGTGGGCGGAGGTACTCCACCGCGGTTGATAGAGAGGTCAGACATTCCTTTACCGATCTCGCGTTCAGGGCCATGATAGCGACCTGGCCATCGGAGTATATGCTTACCTCCCTAACTGACATCACACTCTTCTGCAGTGAGCCTACCGCTTCCTTGGCTGCAGCTATTTCCGCCTAAATGACACTGCAGAAGTCCGCGAGGCTGAACATAGGTTCGATGAGGAGCTTCCGGAAAAAGATACCTGCATCAACCCTTCCTCCAAGTTTTGATCCGTCTGTGAAGAAGTTCACAGCTCCTTTCTTCTAGTGCCCCGCCCCACCTAGTCCTCTCTTTTAGGAATGTAGGTAGAGACGGAGATACTGTAAGCCATTTTGGAGGCGCAGTAATCTGTCCGTTGAGGGATAAAATCAAACCCCTCCACAACTTTAGGATGTCCAGTTTTCGAGCCAGTTAACCACCCGCTTAATGAAAGTTCGCGCTGCGACAAGTATGCTTGCAATATCTACAGGCATAATGTTCAACATGGCGTTAAGCGCAGGTGTAGGTGTGGTTCTTTATGCACCACTAATGCCGATAAGGGCAAACGGTTTTTCGCGTTCCAGTTGCTTAGCAAGTTAAGCTTTCTCAAGCGAGTTCCACCAGGAGAAGGCTTCGGAAAACAAAATAGGCTTAACGACGATTTTTTTAGAGCCAATGAATTACCTTGTGCGAGAGACCCCACCTCTTACCGTGAGAACTGATTCTTGATGAACAGTGAAGTTCCGTTATGATATTTCGGCTCTCCGCATGAATATCCGTCAGATAGCGTTCTGTTAATATACACATAAGAATACCTTGACCCCATAGATGCATCGCCTGTTAGAAAGACCATGCAGTGCAAAACGTATCGGCTTTCATTGAAATCCCACGAGGCCAAAACTGTCTCTTTTCTCGGTGAGACTGGCTCAAGTTTGGCCAACTACTCATATGCAACGCTGATTCCTGCAATATCACATTGACCTAAAAATCCCATAAGTTTGAAATAATCAGACGAGACCTTTAAAGTGGTCACTCATTTTCTTATTGAGTGAGCCCGAGGCCATGATTGCCGCTTGGCTGTTGGAATATATATACAACTAACTTGTCGATGTTACGTTAGCGTCAGATGAACGCTTTCAATTGATTGACGAGTTGGTGCACTATGTATGTATGGACATATGGAATACAATAGAGATACTCCAAAGGTTCGAATAAAAAATTCTCAAGGCAATGTCACACGATTGGGCAGTTGCCCAAAATTTGGCGAATTCACAAATATTTTTCTTTATCCCAATCATGAAACACAATTTGTTATTGTTTTGTTTAACGAAAAAAAAAATTAAATCGTCCCAATTTTCTTATTTTGTACCAATAGCCCAATTCAAAAAATGTACAAATCTGTACAAATATAACAATCGTGTTGCACTGCCTTTAGAATAATTGTGAACGCTCCGCTATATGCCACAAACAATCAAATACATCGTGAAATCGAAATTTCCCAGATCCTCTTCTCATAGAGTATCACTCCAGTGACTTAAAAGGAAATAAATATTAGATATCTACTAATATTGAATACCTGCGGATAAAATACAGTTGCACTACTGGGTGTACTCCATACACGAATAATTTTATTTACTAAAAAGTTTTAAATATTGCTTAAAGATAAAATACAGATCGCAATAAAATATATGAATTTAAAAAGAGAAACCATTGGACCGACCAACAATTAAAGCATTGTGGAAATGGAAGCAGCAGCAAACACAACACAAACAATAAATGGAAAACTTCAAGTGTAAAACCAATATCCAATCCGAAGTTTTTACAGTTACCGCAGTTGAATGTACGCATTACATATTTATGTATTTTTGTATACGATATGATACAGATTCCTGATAATTGTGCTGCAACGTTGTCCTTAAATGCGGTTTAAATTCCAATTAAAAACAATTTAAATGTGAAAAGGATAAACATTTTGATGGTCAATGGAACGACTGTGTGTACATATACTTATAATAAATTTAAATTGATTGCTTTTGCATTAATTTGATTGCTTTTGCTTGAACTTGATTGAATGTGAAAACTATCACTCTATCACTTAACATTTTGCATCGACTTTATAAACTTATTGGACAACAATAAGAAAATAAAATAATTTTCGGAAAACTAAATGCAATATAAAAATATATTACATTTTAAAATAATAAAATCAAGCAGTTAGAAGTAAATTGGATTGAAAAAGAGAAAATAATAAAGAAGAAATAATTAAATGAAATTAAAAAAATATAGTTTTCTTTTTAAAACAATATAATCTTGAACAGAAAAATATTATATTAAAAAACGAAAACAAAAGTTTAAGTTTCTAAAAATCAAATGTAATGAAATTAGCTTAACAAATGTGTTTCTTTGTATAACAAGATACAAATTAAATAAAAAAATAACAATAAAAAAATTAAATAAATTTCGAAAAATCAAATGTAATAAAATAAATTTGTTTTTTTTTTAAACAATACAGTTGAAAAAAAATGAATTAAAAAAGAAAAAAATACCGCCCTAAAAATTAAATTAAATTAAAATAAACTTGTCTTTTTAAAACAATCAAATATAAAACTATAAAGAATTTTTAAGTAAGAAAGACAAAAAATATTATTAAAAAAATCAAGGAATCGACTCCGGATATCTCGAATGAGACTGAGCGCGGGCAGAATTATATACAAGTGCTTTCTGTCAAAAGAGCTTCTTACCATGCAAGAAAAAAGACTTTCAACTTACTTAGCCAAAATTGCTTTGATAGCAGATGTTTTTGCGTAAAATCCTTCTACGTCAAATGAAAGGAAGTCTTGGTAATTATTATGAGGACCCTAAGCTTATAATTTCAATGCTAGATAAAGGAGTAGGTGGAGTAGCAAACAAATTCAATATTTATTTACCACGACAATCAAATTCCTAGACGGTTGTGATGCTGCCAGGCTAAAAGAGATCCCGCCTAGGGAAACCTCAGATTCAAACACGCAAAGATCCCGGAAATTGTGCCGAATAATCTAAGAAGCCGCCTAGATTATACTAGTACTACCCTACTCTGTTTAACGAAAAAATTCTCCATAATCATCCCAGAGAGGAACTAATGGTAAGGTGCCACAGACCTAGACGGCTGGCTATCTTTACAGTTGTTTCCAAGCTAAATGGCAGAGTAGGCAGCGGTATTCACTCCAGTGTACTCGCACTAAACCTACTACCTGTATACTCTGACAGCCAAGAAGACGGCAACGTTGATAAAAATCATTTCCCACTTTCACATTAATGAAAATAAAAAATTTATATTTCCTCTTATCCTTCTCACTCACCCAATGAAGCGGATATAAGAGGGATAAATATATTTTCGGAAAAAAATATGTTCATAGCTTGTAACAAGTTTTGTACATATGTAAGTACGTATGCATGTAATTCAAGTAACCTTTTTGGTGCGCAGCATGCAATTCTTGTGTTATGGTAAAATAATAAAATTTTTTTAGCTCAGACAGAATTTTTTATTTGGTCACTACATATGTATGTATAAATGTAAGCCCTACTCACAACCAGTTGGCTTTAGGCGAAAATCACTGTTTTTCATTTTTGTAGATAAATCATCAATAACAATGCGGTTTACTTGGAAAAGGTTTATAAAGTAAACCTATTAAAATGTAGATTAGCCTGTTGATGCAGCATATAAAGACACATACTTGATATTTTGTTTCAGGCTTTCACTCTTTACTATAGTTATGTATTTTAATTTTGGGATTTTATGCCAATAGCCGCATGTTTCCTTAAATGTATTGAAAGCAGACTGTCAACTGGAAAGTTTTAATTTTTTCTCTCTCTTTGTATGGTTTATGTATGTATGTGCACATACAAGCATACCCATAAATATATTGCGGCATGATTTTGAGGTATGTATGCGTGGGAATCATAAAGAGGGACTGTTGTTTGGATTGTCGATTTAACTTCCTTTTGTGCTCCTGGCTCGTAAAAGTATGAAACTTACGGCCATATAAAATAAACAAACACAGTTGTATGAATATATATATGTAGGCATCTCCTACACATATATATGTGCAAGTATTCCCTGCAGGGAAAGCTACAGGTTCAAGTGCTGGCGCAGGAAACATTTTTTAATTTTATTTATTGTTTTAAATTCATTATTTAATAAATTATTATTTTTTTATTTAGCGGTTTTATTGTAATTAAAAAAATATATTATTTTCTTTTTTTTTATGGCACAATCATTTCTTCCCTTATGTATGTTATATGTTTCTGCAATGCAAATAGATTTTTAAATTTCTTATTTATATTTAAACCGATCTAATTTTTTTTTTTACTTACATGGATTTAACTTTAAAATCGTAACCACCTCCACGCGGCCTCGAACCTGCGATCTCAGAGCCAGTAGTTTTTACGTGACGCCACAGCTGACATTTGTAAGAAAAGCAATTAACTGCGTTTTGGCATTTCAAAGGCAGATGGCGCTGAACGCTTACGTTCTTCGAAATTGTCGAACTGGTAGGCACATACCAG